GCCTCAGAAATACCCCAAAGAAGCAGCCGTCTTAGCTAATTGTTTTTAGGGTTTCTCAAAATTCAAAATTTTTAGACTGGTTTGAATTCGGTAGGCAGTGACTTGGCTCTGCCCGTGGTATTGCTAAAGCCCATGGGCGACGGTAACCACTCACCATCAAGTGGGCCGCATTCTCGTCTGCCTACAAGGACAATAAAAAAAATTTATTTTTTTGCCTTTAACGCTCTGATAATATTAAATAATCGCACGTTTTTTACTGCTTTCATATAAAATGATATTGCTTCTGCAATATGGTAGAAGATGCTACCTTGATTATTAATAGCATGTTTTGATTTAACTTAAAGGGTTTTTGTAGCTTAGTGCTAAATATTACTAAAAGAGATTCATCCGTTTTTTGATCCTATTTATCATGGTTTTCGGGATATGTCGCTTATTTTCGTAATTATCGGTATTGCTATGGCATAGGCATTTGGACAACAGGCAAAGTCTGTTATTAACACTGGTTCATCTATTTATGGAGAATTTATGATGACAAGTCGAAGTGTCACTGTAATGTTGTTTAGTCATTCCTTTGCTCTCTGGATAAATGTCGCCCTTGCGTTGTCTCTTCATTTACTCCGGTTGGTAAGGCTCCTGGCAAACTAGAGTTTGTGGACTAACTGTGTTCAGTTGCGTTACCATTTAGTCTTCACAAACTTGAATTTAGGACAATGTCTAGCAGTGGTTGTGTATGGGCTGAAAAATAAATAAAACTTGTCTATATAATTATAAAGTCAGTCGCATTTATAACCATTATTACATGTCAGATCACATTTAAAAAGTCTATTATTGATATTAACTGCGACAGCGTTTGTCTTCATTAATTCAATACCTTTCACAGTCCTCGTTGACATTTTAGAAAATGAGACATTTCAAATGACTAGAGTTATGTCATTTAATTTTATATTGTCATTTTAATAATTTGTATGTTTTGTAATACTAGTGGTCCCCCGGTAATCGAAATTCGTCTATAATTAATTGAAATTATAAGTTTGTACACTATTATGATTTTGTTGTGGAAGCCTATTTATTATACTACTATAATCTTTAATCACAGATTTCGCCAAGACTACACTTTATACAAACATTAATAAAGACAAACAATATTTAATCTATTCTCAATTTGATCACAATAAATAAATAGTATGCACGCGTGGTGTGTGTGAAATACATGGTAGTGTGTGTAATGTTTTTTTTATTGATTTAATGTATTTTTAATTCATAATTTAAAAAAATATTAACATTCTGAACTACTTCTCTATATTCTCCATAAGTGTGGGAAATTTCATACTTCTCCGTCCGCGCAATTATCGTTAAAAGGGGTTTTTTTTTTGGTCAGGAGGAAATCGCCGGACTTCCGCCCTCCACTGGGGATGGAGGGCGGGGCATATCAGAGTCGAACTGACTAAAACCTCCTGTCGCTCAACAACCAACGTCCAAACCTCGCATGAGACAGAACTCATGAAGAGGCAGAGGGGGGAAAGTGAAACGTTTAGTGCGGAGCACATCTCTCCCATCACCCTCCCCCATCGTTAAAAGGGGTACAAAGTTTTTGCTTATATGTCATTTATATTATCATTTAGTAATTTGTATATTTTGTAGTTATTATTGGCATTAAAATGCTCGACAAGTAGAGACAAGACGACCAGTGGTTTCAACAAATTAGTTTTCGTAAAAGTGAATTTCATTCCAAGGCATGTCAGGATTCTACAAGTATCCAATAAAAGCATTCCACTATAGCTTTATACTCTCAACTATAAAACCCCTAATATCCTTTAGCGCAGGGCAAAACATTTTATTTCCCACAATAAAAAACTATAACGGTATCGCATGAAATATCCATCAAAGCTGCTCCACCAAAGAATAGGACAAGTAGTTTTTAAAAAAAATCCTAACATGGCTTAGCATTCCATTGTAGGGTCGGTACTTGATAAGTTTCTTAGAAATCGATTTAAAAAAAAACAGTACCTGGTATTTTTTTATTGGCTTTCTGGCAGATGAATAAGTTAAAGACAAAGTCGCTGTATTAGCATTTCAATATATTGGCATCAAACAGGCTCAACAACTATGATGAAAGAGTCAAAGATCACGTTGGAGCCCTAACTTTCTTTTTCCGAATCTTCTAAGAAGCTTGTCCTTAATTTCCATGAATTCGTCTACCTTAGCGAAACCTTAAGTGTCTTCTTTTTTTACACCGGAGCTTTCAAGTTTTGCTTTTAGGCTGATAGCGTCGATAGTTTTTGAAGAACTTTTATTAAGTTGGGTATCTAGTGGATAGCCTAATTTGTTGATTATTATTTGTTACTAGGGCTTGACTACCATACAAAAATGTTTGACCTTAATTCCCGGTGAGAAGGAACAATTTGTGTTAAAAATGGCGTCTGTTTTTTTTGGTAAGGGCTTTACCGATAGCACATAAATAAATAAAATCCTGGTTTGAGGTTACTGAACGTGGCACGATCGTAGACCTCATGTCTGAAGGCAGTTGGCGCTTCTAATATCTATGAGCTCCGGTAATTAAATAACATCAGATTGACGGCATGCTTGACTGCAATTCTAAGCCTTAGAAAATGTATTTAAGACGTCACCAACAATACTAAGTTATATCTCGGAATACGGTCTCAACAAAATAAAATTCACATTAAAATGAACGACAAATTTATATTTAAACGAATTACGCTTATTAAAAATAGAAATGAAAAACGCTATAAAATAGAAACAAAATATAGAGGACTTGGACGTCAAATTTAATGTGTGAACAAAGATTTTTTTGAATAAAACATCAGCACCAAAAATAATATTTGTCTCGAATCATATGTATAATAATGTAAGGATTTCGCGTAAACCGCCCAAACGCCATCCCCAATAATGTTGGAGCAGGCTTCGAATATCACCCTAGCGGTCGAACTTATGTTCTGATATATGAAACCCAAATATGTTACGAATTCAAATGAGTTTCAAAATCTCTGTGTTTATTGTGACGTCCTATTCAAATGAGATGAAAATTCAAGAATATTTATTTGTAAATTCGCAATAAAGACAAAAACAGGCTAAATAATCTAGGCAAACTTTCTCCGTTTTAATTGTAAATGTACCTTCCATATATTGCTTTTTGTTTCATAAAACATTTGGTGAATAAGTCGAAGTTCATGAAGAACAAAACGATCTGGACCAAATAGGTAAACATACATTTTGGTGTATAACTGCGAACATATTATTTAAGTCTATGTCGTCTGTACACTCTTAATAAACCCAAGTAGAAATTGAAGGGTGTGGCAGCCGTTGTAACTGTACTGAGACCTTAGAACTTATATCTCAAGGTGGGTGGCGCATTTACGTTGTAGATGTCTATGGGCTCCAGTAATCACTTAACACCAGGTGGGCTGTGAGCTCGTCCACTCATCTAAGCAATAGAAAAAAATATTTGCTGCAATCTTAATGTTTAGACGCATTCATATTTTTTCTTACCTAAATTTTGGTAGACAAAGGGGCTATTTTAACTACGCATGAACCGTTAGCTCACGGGTTCAATCTGAGACAATTGCTAACACTTACCCTAGCAAAAGCAGCGATTCGTTGAAACTACCACCAAATCGGAATCGTAACGCATTCAGACCTTTGACACCTCATTCTGACAGTAAATACTTTGTTAAAACCGCTCCGCAAAAAATCAAATTTTTGGCCATATATACAGTATATTTTTACATTTAAAGTATTGCAGTGTTTTAGTTTTTCGCAAATATTCAGTGCTTTTATATTTTTACAGTCCAACTGTGTAAAAATAAGTGTATTAACGAACTAATTTCATGTGTTTTTAAAAAAGTCGTTGTAGGTAGTGTTACGTGTGCTACGAGTACAAGCGCTACGCGCAAGCAATATTCGTTAATATACACGAGTATTAAGAACTACATTAGCGTAAGGTGCATTATACGATGCACTAAATCGAAACTGTGACGTCTTTGGCAAAGATTAGTAACGCAGAACAGTCTTGAGAGAAATCATACCGTGTTTGTCTCTGTGAGGGAAACGGATCAATTGCTTGACTATACACACTTTCAGTCGAATTAAATTAAAAATGAAGTGCGCCGGTTGTCTAAAGGTAACGAAAGAATTAGGTTCTATTCGTTGTACCAGCTCATCTTGTACGAAAATTTTCTGTNTTGACCCCGGACGGAGATCGGACGTCGGGTGTAAGAGTGCAGGGGAGTCGTTTAGTGGGTGGGCCCTAAAATCCTTGGGCCCGCGATCTGCTCTCAACACCTGCAGATCGTTGAGTCTCACATACCCCGCGCGCCCCCTAGGCGCGGGGACCTCGTAGGAGGTTCGGCCCCCGGCCCGAGAAAAAAAAAAAAAAAAAAAAAAAAATGGTACAATCACAATAGAGCATAAATTTATACCTCATGTCACGTTGTGATATTTATGAGCTCTGTGACCGTTGCCGAATTAAGGCAAAAGAAAAATCTCAAGCACATTGTATGCGGACACAATCGCTTCGAATCAGGCCGTCGTGCAGTCGAGATTTTGATTTGATATTGGGCGGAATATTAGATGGTATCAGGAAGGAAATGGATGTGGTTATCGAGTATAAGAACAATTTGTTTTCAAAACTAATATAAAATAGATAGATTTTTGTTTAACAGAATTTTATAAATAACTAGCTGACCCGGCAGACTTCGTAGTGCCTCAAACATTCCGATTTGAGCACCCGACGCGCGTGGACGTGCTCATTGTTCGTTCGATCGCCCGACCTCGGTTCGTGGCACATCTGGCGTCCAAGTGTTTTGTCGGAAGTGACTACCGGTGATAATAGATCATTGTTCGTGGCACATCTGTGGCCCAAGTGTTTCTCGGAATTTGTACCTGCGCCTAATTGCAAGGCATTGCCGCCCGGGAACTGTGCAGTGGTTCTATTCACTCTAATTCTATTATATTTATTCTATTCACTAAAATTTCTAAAATTCCTAGAATCGCTTCGGCCAATTTAGTGTTACCGACGCAGGGGCCTCGCCGCAAGGCGAGCGCGTGTTTAAGTCCCGGGGCAGCCCCCCCTGGGCAGTCCGAAGAAATGGAGTTTTCTCCAACCAACACACTGCTCGCGGAATTCTTAAGCGAGAAATACCCGGCCCTCGAATCNCGTCGCACAAGACGCAGTGCGGCGCGGCTGTGGTGCAGGAGGCTGCCTTGTGCCCCGGTTGGCCGCAGCGGAAACACAAGCCGCTGCGGTCCACGGTCGAGGGGCACTTGGCGAGACCGTGGCCGGTGCCGAAGCACCGAAGACAGCGCCACGGCCTGGCATCCTGCAGCTGCACGTGAGCCACTACCCAGCCCACGCGCAGCCTTCCTGGGCTGTCGGAAGGCCGCCCCTGTGGAGGGGTGGCCAGGAGGGTCGCCGTTGCAATCGGGCAACGCGCCCACGCCGTCCGGGTTCCGGAATATGTCACCCGGAGCTCTCCGACTTTGACGTCGGCGAGGGCGCAGTTGCCCTGCGACGCGATGGCCGCGGCGACCTCCTCCTTAGTTGCGCACTCGTCGAGGCCCGTGATTTTGACTTCTCCCATCTTCACGGGCCGCGCGATGCGCACCACCTCGGGGTCCGGCAGAATCTCCCTCAGCCGGGCCGCCAATTTTTCGGCCGCGGCGTTGGTGTTCGGGCCGGGGCACTCTATGAGACGGGCCCCGTTGGCCGTCTGCCGGACCTTGATGCCCCCCTCCACGCCGAGGGCGTCCACATTCACGCCGCCGCGCGCCTGGGTCATCACCTCGTGGTAGGTGATGCCCTTTTCTTTGCCGGCCGGCAGCAGCTCCACTACCACTGCAGCCGACCGCGGGGCGCGCGGCCTCCTTCGTCCATTTCGGCCCCTCGGCTCCGCTCGACCCTCTTGGCGGGGAGCGGTGGCCGCAGGGGCGGGCTTGGGACGCGGCGCAGGAGGCACCGCTACTTTCTTAGGCCCACGCCGCACTACCGTCGTCCAGGCCTCATCCATATTTGCTGGGGCCGGGGGCAGAGGGCGGGGCTGGGGAGTCGGTGCCGGTTTGGCGGCGTTGACGCCCCCCTTCTTTTTATTCCGGCTCCTGCCGGGCCCCACCTTCGCAGGCTGGGACGGGGCAGGAGCGGCCTTCTGGGTCTTGGGCTGGCCGGTGATAGGTGCCCTTGAGGGGGCGGGTTTTGGTGCCCCCGTATCCTTTGCCGATGATCCGGGTTTGGCCGGAGCAGCAGCTGAAGCGGCCGAACGTGCCGCTGGTGTCGCATCCTTTTTGGGACCGCCATATGTTTTTGCGGCCATTTTCTTTCGGGGTGCCGGTGTGGGGGCAGCGCCTTTCGCCTCGTGAGCGAGGGGCGGTCTCGCACGCTCCACCTTGGAGCTGCGTGCCTCCGAGATTAAGAGTTGCCGCCTCAGCTCTTCGGCCTCGCTTTCATCTTCCACTTCGGGCGGAGGGGGAACGGGGGCCGAGCTGCGCTGCTTCTCTACCAGGTCGTTGACCACCGTGCGCAGCTCTGCCATATCGACCTTGATTTGGCCGTTTTCAGCTCGCAGGTGGCCGTTCTCTTCGCTAACCTGCGCAAAGCGGGCGTGCATCAGGTCCAGCTCTCGCCGCAGGTCCGCGTTCTCCTTATCAGTCGTGCGCTCCACCACCTCCACCAATATCTCCTCCATCGAGGCGGCTGAGGATTTGAGGGCCCGTAGGTAATCACCCTTTAAGCCCGCGCTCGACTTCGTCGCCACCGCAGACACAAGTTTCTGGATAATGTTCAATCTACGGAGGGGGTCATAGGGACCCACCTCCGTCAGGGAGCGCTCCAGACGCTCGACCTCTCCTACCTCTGTCCCGTTCTTTGCCTNGTTTTGAGGTCAATTATATATATAGTAAATCGCATTTTGGTCCTCACGATACAGGCTATGCCTAGTGTGAGGATCATTGGTTAATTTTATATTGTTGATGCCATCTGCGTAATCTCTCAGTTTGTTAAATATGTAAATAGTATTCTAGGTCATGATTTAAGAGTTTATGTAGTAAATAAAGAAATTATTATTATTATTATTATAGAGCTCCTCACAAATATTTATTTATTCCGTATTTTTTGCATCCACAGGAAATCCAAGAATAGATAATTATTATGAATTTGTTACTGGTACTTACTTATATTACGTTAGTTTAAAACTATGGGGAATCCATTGATATCTTGACAACATTATGAACATTATGGAACATTTTGGACTTAGTTACAATTTAAGTTTTTGGCAGCCATTTTGTAACCGATTTAAACAAAAATCCACAAGAGAAATGAGGCTCATCTGCCAGCCAGCAATTGACACTTAATACCACGGCTGACTGTGCATTTCAATGGACACATCAACTTGATTTATTTTTTGCTTAATTATCTGCCAGCCCCTTTGAGAGGCTATTCTGGCTTAAGGAGTTATTATGGACTAAGAAGTTTGTTAACATGCTGCCCTAGCAATAAAACTGGTGGTAGGACCTCTTGTGAGTCCGCACGGGTAGGCACCACCGCCCTGTCTATTTCTGTCGTGAAGCAGTAATGCGTTTCGGTTTGAAGGGTGGGGCAGCCGTTGTAACTATACTGAGATCTTAGAACTTATATCTCAAGGTGAGTGGCGCATTTACGTTGTAGGTGTCTATGGGCTCCAGTAACCACTTAACACCAGGTGGGCTGTGAGCTCGACCGCCCATCCAAGCAATAAAAAAAAAGCAGTGCTCCGTTGAATCTACCCCCAGATTGGAGTCGTGATCCACTCAGAACATCCAGATGGATACTCACTTGGTTAATTACCTAATATTAAATCGTTACCTGAGTTCACACGCAACGAATAATTTTCCAAAAAAGAACAGATTTTCTCACATTCGCAACAAGAAGCGTTATTATACAATTGTGAACAAAAAACAATTTGAAACGAAGGATTTTTGTCACAATCCCTTTGTCATGTAGGCTAGAATGGAAATAATGTCACAGGATAAAAATATAATAGACGTTTAATTTTTTAATACTATATTATTTGATAATTTTTTTTTTAGAAAACTTAAAAATACCAAATCTATTTACACAAAGAAATTAAATTCTATTGAGAATATACAGGAACTCGTAACTTCATAGTCGGCATCACTGGACTAATGAAGCTGTAAAGTAATTATTTTCGTCTCCTCTCTCTCCACCTTATCCCACTAGGTGGGGTCGGCGCAGTGAATTTTTCTATTCCATTCTTCTCTATCAGCCGTCATCTCAACACTCACTTCTGTTTCTCTCATATCGTCACACTCCATCCATGTCTAGTTCGGTCGACCTCTTCCCCCTCTACCTTGTACTACCATTTCCATACATCTCCTAGTCACATGCATCTCCTCTCTACGAATCACATGTTGTGAGTTCGCGCGGGTAGGTACCACCACTCTGTCCATTTCTGCCGTGAAGCAGTAATGCGTTTCGGTTTGAAGGGTGGGGCAGCCGTTGTAACTATACTGAGACCTTAGAACTTATATCTCAAGGTGGGTGGCGCATTTTCGTTGTAGGTGTCCATTGGCTCCAGTAACCACTTAGCACCAGGTGGGCTGTGAGATCGTCAACCCATCTAAGCCATAAAAAAAAAACCACGCAAACATGCTTATTGAGTAATAAACGTTCTAAGAATTAATACTATCGTGGATTAGATTTAGTCACGCCAAACGACTGAGTATCATATGTCGAGAAAGAGAATAATACGGTATTGTCTTGGAGGGACATGTGATCACGTAAATAGCTCAGAGGGTTGACCTCCTCCGGCGGCTGCTATTCTTGGATACGACCTAAATGAACCTGACTCGGTATTGCTAATTTCGATGAACACCTAAATATTACGTACGCTAGGATGATACCAACAATAAACTGCGTCATTCTGTGGGTGTCATAATCCGTGTCCTTGGCAATTCATTGTTAGCTATTTGATTAGTATAGTTAGTAATTCATTTTATGAGCAACCGTTGCCAATACGCAGGCGTATGTGGCAGAAAAACATTTAAATAGAACTTTCAAGATAACCTTCAAGCGTGTAACAAAAGTTCATGAAGCTTGGTTCAATGACCAATAGCGATAAGGAAACTGAAGTATTGCGTTGTTTTTTGGCTACATTATCAGCGATGTGTCCGATCGGTAGCTCTTGAAATGAGTATGGACTAAGTAAGGGTAAGAATGAACAGAAATGAGTGGCACCAAAACAATATCACCCATGCGACTGGTGCTACTATTACTGGTGGTAGGACCTCTTATGGGTCCGCACGGGTAGGTTAGGTGCCACCACCCTGCCTATTTCTGCCGTAATGCGTTTCGATTTGAAGGGTGGGGCAGCCATTGTAACTATACTGAGACCTTAGAACTCATATCTCAAGGTGGGTTGCGGCATTTACGTTGTAGATGTCTATGGGATTTGGTAACCATTTTACACCAGGTGGGCAATGAGCTCGTCCGCCCATCTATGAAAAAAATAATACGAGTATCTGCCCGAGCCTCTATCTCATGGTATATTTAGAACCAGAGCGATTTAAATTGGAGCATACCATATAACATACCATACAGAAAACATAAGACATCGTAACCGCTTGCTTAGTTCGCCAACCGCTCACCTAACTCATAACCTAAACAGCTAGAAATCACTTCGGGAGAGATCCACTTAAAATAGCTACAGTCGCGACACTATCCTACCCGTTATTCGTCGATGTATTGATGACTCGACATTTCGATAGAGTTAATTCAATCACAACCGTGTTCGGCTAATGGTTTTGTGTCTGTTTTAGTAAAAGACTGAATTGTTTGTTTAATATTTAACGTCGCATATCATACTGCATACTATGGAGGAATCATTTTTTAAGGATTTTTATATTTCTCCTCCCACTCCAATATTATCTGAATCGATTGACCTCATATTGTGAATACTTGAACACTTTGAAACCATTTTCAATCTATAAAACAGCTAATTAATTACGTCTTTGCAGACGTACACGTGTGGGCTCCACTACAGCACGTAAATTATTTTCTCTTACTCGGTGTTATTCCCACATCATCAGAAGACAATAATGAGCGTTTTTACGAAATTTACATACTAGCGAACCACACATTAACGGACAACAAAATAGCTCATAAAAGTAGAAGTAAGTAAGCAAACAAGTTTGAATTTTATATTTTAAGTTTAGCGTTTTCAGTGAGTAGACCTATAAGTAGCGTTTGACAGCAATTCTTTTTGTAAAAAAATATCTAGTTGACCTACTGACTCTTTTTTCGACTGTCATTTTGGACCTTAAACTTGTGCTTGAGTTTTTGCGATAAGATACTACAGGCTCGTCGATATCGTTTAAAAAGGCTGTTTTATCTCTAATTTATCGATGGCTTTGAGATGTATCACTACAATTTAGCGTAAAGTAATATGATTATGTAGGGTTACTTATCGTCAAGAGATGGTATCGAAATGACTGAATTCTGAGATGAAATGTGATTGAGAAGAAGCGATTAAGATTTGGTTGAAGTGGAGGAATGTTCGGAGTAGATCTTTAAATGGGGTTGAGTGAATTTAGTTCACGAGGTCCGAGGACGAGCTCGCATTTAAATTCCGTAGAGAGGCTTGTTGGCCAGGGTATGGTGTAAGGGAGCTATTTAGTCGAGAGAGTCTACTGTTCATACGATTCCTAAAAACACAATAAATGACAATCTAATTAGGCATTCCGATATAGGCACCCGTCACGTGCGGACGTGCCCATCGACCACTCGATCGCCCGGCCTTTGTTCGCCCGGCTTTTGTTAGCCCGGCCATTGTTCGCGCGACCTGTGTTCGTGGTACATCTTTTTTTTTTTTTTTTTTTTTCGGGTAGAGGGCCGAACCTCCTACGAGGTCCCCGCGCAAAAGGGGCGCGCGGGGTATGTGAGACTCAACGATCTGCATGGTGTTGTGAGCAGACCGCGGGCCCAAGGATTTTAGGACCCACCCACTAAACGACTCCCCTGCACTCTTACACCCGACGTCCGATCCCCTCCGAGGTCAGAACNGGTCGCGATTCCGATCCGGTAGTAGATTCATTCGCGAAACAATTGCTCTTGAGTTGTTAGGTCTCCTTCGGAGGCGCTCGGGCAGTTGTTAGCAAATCCCACCCCTCTTGGCTGAGCCTTTGCTCGCCCACCTGTCCTGGTGAAACTGGAAAGGCCTTCGGGCCACCAGTAAACTTTCAATCATAAAAAAAAAAAAAAAAAAATCTAATTAGGCAAAAATAATTTCGACCTTGAAGACACAGAATCTTGGGCATTAGTTGTGATGCTACGTAATGTGGAGGCCTTCGATATTGATCGAAGGTGGAGGCCGATAAAAATAGTTCTACCAAGGTATTAATTGAGCCCTGATCCCGAAAATCAGCCTGGAAAAAATAGCCATTTAGATTTTAAAAAAAGCCCAATGGCTATTATTTTAACCCCGTCATGATAACATTCATATCGATTCCTTTATGACTAGGTATGACGTCAAAACTTACCCCATTTTATTCTCACCACAGTTCTTTTATTTATGTTTAGAGAAATCTACTGAAAATTCTTGGCCTTTTTACGTTTCAGGCGGAAATTTGATTAGCAGAAGTTTACCCTCGAAAAATTATAAGGCTCTTTATTAGAATTTTTTTTCTTTTAATTCAACTTCAATGTAAATTTATGAATCAAATAAACTGACACTTAATGTAATAAAGTTCTCAAAGCCCCGGAAGCGCTCACTGTCAAACGTAATTTAATCATAAAATTATTTTTCTACTTTGCATATTTTCGTCAGTACATTTTATTTTGATGACTAGCTGTTTTATAAATTATCTTCGGTATTATTATTTCTAATCTAATATAATATCATACTGCCGTCATTCTTTTGTTCCCTTGTAATTACAGCTGTTGTATCGTTTCAAATTAACCTGGAATTAGGAGTCAAATTATTATTAATTAGCAGAAATAAATTTGCAGACTGTGTGGCTAATATTCTGACAGTACAATACCTATTTGTTAGATATAATATACTACTTCTCCATCTTTCGTGTATAATAATAGTCATATTTTTGTTGCTGATTCTAGTTAATGATATCTTTTTGTTGAGTTTATTTGGTGTATCTAAGTGTATAAAAAATAACTTAAGAGAAAATCTAAACTTAAGGACATTGAATGTTGATATAATTGTATCTCATTTAAAGCTATCGAATATTGCTAATATCCTAATCCCAACAAAAAATTGGGTTCTATTCCAGAAGAACGTTAAGTGGAACGCGAGTAGTTTCAAGAAATGTATGGATTTCATACATTTAGGGACAGCGGTGCATGACCGGATTATATTAGACTCACGTCCTTGCGGATCCATCAGATCCAATGACCTTTGCATATACCTAGGATACCCCGGAAACCGTACTCGTCGAACTCGTCAGCCCGATGAGTTTCTCGCCGGATCTTCTCAGCGGGTCACGATTCCAATCCGGTAGTAGATTCATTCGCGAAACAGCTACTCTTGAGTCGTTAGGTCTCCTTTGGAGACACTCGGGTAGCTGTTAGCACCTCTCCTGGCTGAGCCTTTGCTCGTCCACGTACCCTGGTAAAACTAGAAATGCCTCCGGGCCACGAGAAGTTATCTCAAACACAAAAAAAAATCTAGTAGACTGGATTCTACACTAGTATCACATTAACCTTATTAGAACTTGGTGCTTAGAGGCAGTCTTGTAACGATATCCATTAAAATAATCAAGCTTTTAGAAGGCAGAGTTTTTTTGGCCAATATACTCGAAAAGCCAGCCCTTAAAATAAAATAGCAAAATATAAATGTACATAAAGAGAAATACGGGAGGTTAACCAAAAGTGGTCAAGATTTTAAGGTATCTTCCTGAGGGAACGAAGTAGACAAGTTGGAATGAAACACGAGTACTTTCGTCAACAACTTTTTTGTTCAAACAAAACATATTTAATAAGTCCACTGCACGTTTTTGTTTACGAAAGTTTTATTTTACGGGTACATTGGGTAGGTATTTAAGGAAAATTCCTTGTTAAAATACTTTTGTAGATTCAACTGCTTAATCGACTAGTGATTTGCGAAATTTTCAGTATAGTAAGGCAGGAGTTGTAAAGCCTCAAGAGTCGGTTTCCTAAGGCACCAAGAGCCAAGGCCCAAACCCGGCCATGGACGCCGTCCGGGCCGGGTGCAGTGTCCTTCGCGCACATTTTGCGCACGGCCACACGGAGCTCCGCCCCCATTATATGGGGCACCTCAGCAGGGGCTTCGCCGTCGTATTCCGGTGGCGCATCCGTAGCGGGAGCGACAAACCCCTCCTGCTCCTGCGGGAACAGCGCTGAGACGATGTCCCGCAGCTGCTGAGGCTGGAGACGCTCCGTGATCCGGGGTGCCCATAAGCGCATTTTATTGCGCCCTATATGATAGGGCCGCCCCCACGGATCCTCATCCAGCGTCTCCAAGAGACCCTCCATGTTTTGGTTCTTGGCTCTTCTGATGGCCAGCTGCAATGCCCTCTGCACAACGCGAAATGTGCCGTGCAGCCGGGTCTCTGCCGCCGCGAGCCCAACCGGATCGTTGCGCCGCGGCAGGCGGCGGCGGCGATGCCTGGCGCACTCGCGCCTCGCCCGAACGCACTCCACGCGGAGTTGCGCAATTTCGGGCGATCAGCAGTACGCCTGGCGATTAGGAAGTCGAGGGCCGATCCGGGGCATCGACACATCACAGATGCGACGCACCGTGTCCCGGAACCACCCTGCCTCGCCCTCGACCTCGACTGGGTGTGGACGCATGGGCGCCCACGCCGCCACCGTAGAGGTTTCCATCAGGAGCTCCTTATTCAGGCGCTTCAGTGCCCACTTGGGGAATGACCGGGGCGCACCACGTGGGTGGTCCCCGTGGACATCCGCAACTGATCCATACTTCCTAGAATCATTGCGTTCATCCAAAGTGCGTTTCCTAACATACTTTTTGCCACGTACCATATATGGCTTTGACATGAGCTCCCCTCTACTACGTTTCCCGAGCGCTATGACATGCCCTTCTTCAAACGAGGTTTGTGGAGAGTACTTAGCGGTAGGCAGCGGCTTGGCTCTGCCCTGGTATTACTAACGTCCATGAGCAACGGTATCCACTCACCATTAGATGAGCCGTATGCTCGTCTGCCTACAAGGGCAATAAAAAAAATACAATATTTCTTGTAGCGTTCTAAACAAATTTCGAATACCCAAAGATAAGAGATACAAGAATTATGTAAAGCTTATGAAAATTTGTAACTCTGGCGTTACGATTAATTATTAACAATTTCAACTTCAAGTTGAGTTACATTGAGAACTCGGTTGATTAGGAACGGAGATACCAATCATAATTATCACTTGAAATGACAGAATATTCATTAAGCTTATTGTGGAAAAACGAAATGGCTTTTTCCCGGAAACCTTTTTTTTTAGATTAAAGGATAATGATCATAGCACATACAAAACGTGAGGCCCTGGCTTCGGTTATTGCATCCCGTTATCCTTTTGTAATATCTTACTCCATAGGATCCAAATTCCGGGTGGTAAAAATACAGGCACGTCGAAAACCCTCACGGGTGATTAGCACCCTCCTTCTTATACCCCCGCCATGCAGTCATGCGTTCTAGTGTGAAGGGTAGGCCAGACAAAGGAAATTACAAATTAAGAATTTATTTATGTCTCAAACAGGACAAAGGCGTCTATGTTACTTGGTGGTAGGTGGTAAGGTTGCGAACCCACACTGGTAAAGTCTGTGAAGCAGTAACGCATTTCGGTTTGAACTCATATCTGACAATTAGAACTCATGTCTCAAGGAGGGTGGCGGCGTTTAGGTTGTTGATGTCTAAAGGCTCTGGTAACCATCTAAAATCAGGTGGGACGTGAGCTTGTCCACCTATAGCAATAAAACAAAAAACTTATTGTGTCTAACAATCATACGAAAACAGTAATTAGTTAATCAATTTTTTTAGTTAAGTGTTACTAATAGCACTATTGGCAGCTTGATTGTTAATATACCATAAGTCGTCTACTATATTAAGCAAAAATAATCTACTTCAAGTCGAATGAATATTGAAGAAGATTACAGAACAAAAGCTGATCTAACCCTTAAGTAGATCTATTCGGGTAAATAGGTCTGATTTTTTTCCTGAAGCTGAACAGAAACTCTCAAGTACAGAGACAGAGAATGTTAAATCGACAAAAAATTCTGTTCATTAAATACAATGAGAAACAAATGTAAATAAAAATTCAAACAAAAAAACACAAATCGCTTCATGCTGTAACTTTTGCGACGAAGTAGAAAAGCTCGATATACATTTCCCGCTTTGGCTCGTTAAAACTTGTGGGGAACCTTTTGTTCAGCCTTCGTACTGAACTTATTTTGAACTGAAGATTTGTTTTAAGATACAGGATCCACTTGAAGGACAAACGTTGTCAAAGCTTTGACGTTAGGCCTTATAATTGTAAGGTGGAGAAGAGCACGTGACCCGGATTGTCTTTTAATTGAAAATTAAGAGGTATCTCTTGTCTGCAGAATACCCTGGCCATTTTGGATAAACTGGACATCGACAGCGAGAAGCCTTCAGAAGAAGAAATCGCCAGGCTTTTTGGTTACGAAGAAGCTTACTTTTCTGGAGAACTTGGATTCTGGCAACGACTCAAGCCAAAAGTCTGGGCGTTGTTTGATGAACCTTCAAGTTCACCAGCTGCAAAGGTAAACTTACGGAAAATTCATGTATCTCTCGATTTGGCATCATTCATGGCACTGTAATTTTTTTTATTGCTTAGATGGGTAGACGAGCTCACAACCCACCTGGTTTTAAGTGGTTACTAGAGCCCATAGACATCTACAACGTAAATGCGCCACCCACCTTGAGATATAAGTTTTAAGATCTCAGTATAGTTACAACGGCTGCGCTACCCTTCAGACCGAAACGCATTACGGCAGAAATAGGCAGGGCGGTCACACCTAATCACAATTGATTATACATATGCTTCATTTGATATTTAATTTAATATTTGCAATAACTAGTAAATCTCTCACCAATGGTTAAATGTAACCAAAAATTCTATAGTATGTGGCATCAATCTATATCTATACTAATATTATAAAGAGGAAAGATTTGTTTGTTTGTTTGTTTCGAATAGGCTCCGAAAGTACTGGACTGATTTGAAAAATTATTTTTCCATTAGAAGCCGACATTGTCCCTGATGAACATAGGCTACTTTTGGATTTTTTTTTTATTTTTTTTTTTTGGTTTCATGTGTGTTTTAATGTTTCCGAAGCGAAGCGAGGGCGGGTCGCTATGAATCTATAATTATGCACAAATGAAAAAACCTAGTTAAACGAGTTAAATTCTATAGCAATTATCTTTCCTTTTAATATTCTAGTGAAGCAAACAAAACACTTAAATTTAATAGCAAAATAGTGAGAATATTTATTATTTATTCATCACAAATTCATTCAATTTATTTTTAGAATTTCCTATAGGTAAATTGCTTGAATTTGTGAAGAAATTTTCTTTCTAGTTCGCTATATTTATGTACAATAAAAATAACCTCTCTAATTAATACCAGAGAGTATGTTCTTATTATCTTAACGGAGCAAACAATAATCAACCGTCTCATTAATGTGGAAAAATGAAATGGCTGTAATAAATGTAATTACAGCGACTTCAAATATAAAGAAATTTCTGTTTAATTTTAAAATGAATAGTTTACGAGATGGTAAACGATCACTTAGATATGCATTTTAATGTAGATTCCTTTCCCAGAGTAATTTAAAAAAAATTTTTTTTTTGTAATAAATGTAAATATTTACTAACAATCACGCTACGTTAACTGGTCCCGTGATAAGTTCGTAAAGAACTTGTGTTACAGGTACCAGATAACGGAAATAAATGTAAGATTTTTATTATACACATACATATATTTAATATACATCCATAACCCTGGAAAAGACATTTATATTTATCATACAAATATCTTCCCTTTGCGGGATTCGAAATCGCGACCCCCTTGTGTAGTGACCATGTCTGTTACCACTACACCAGACGGCCGTGACCAGACGGCCTAATGACGTAAGTATTTTTTGTTCAAAATTGGTTAGTGCTATTTTAATAGCTGAATTTTCGACATTACAGGCGTATATTGCGTTTCAATAGTTTAAACTTTTCAAAATCGGTAGTTTTCACCAGAACAACTAATATAGGAGCGGATAACCATATTCTTGTTGAATAGCTCTTAAGGTCGAGATATAGTTTGGGCAACTTAGGTATTTAACTCCTATTGATGGGATTTACTGGTGGTAGGATCTGTTGTGAGTCTGCGCGGGTAGGTACCACCGCCCTGCCTATTTCTGCCATGAAGCAGTAATGCGTTTCGGTTTGAAGGGTGGGGCAGCCGTTGTAACTATACTGAGACCTTACAATTTTTATCTCAAGGTGGGTAGCGCATTTACGTTGTAGATGTCTATGGGCTCAGTAACCACCTAACACCAGGTAGGCTGTGAGCTCGTCCACCCATCTATGCAATAAAAAAAAATCGGGATTTCGATCTCATGTCTCAAGATTATTTTCAATGGGCCGTTGCTAATTATTTAAAGCCAGAAATGCTGTAAGCTCGGCTGCTTAGAACATTCTAAACTTACAATAGTAAGAAAACCTAAACTTATCACTAAAAGCAATTAAATTAAAATGCACGAACCGAACTTTCGCAAAATTCATTTCAGCGAAACTACCCTGCAGAATCTCATAATAATTCAAATTTACCTGAAAGCTGAATCCTAATTGTGAAATATGAGACGTCTGAGCTAATTGAATAACGGTTCTGCAGCGAATCATTAAAATTATGAAATTAAGAGAGGACAGACATTAGAAAGACGTGTATATTTAATTTGTTATTTAGTTTTGTGCAAATGAATTGTTGGAAATAAAATAATATACTGTTCGTGCAGACTATAAACAGAAATTAATGCATATACAAACTATAACCGATGCAACGGATTCCTTATTGTGAATGTCGATTCCAAAAAGCTTGAGACTTGAGATTGGGGACAGTACAGTATGTGTTTGGTTACCTTTTGAAGTAAAATGCAGTTTTTATAAAAAGGTGCCTACGGTATAATTTGAGTTACTACTAAATCATACAACGTCTTACAGATTAGGCCCAAAAAAATGGGCGCTTTCTGAAAATACTTAATGACACACAACTTTTTTATTGATTTATTGATTAGATGGTTGGACGAGCTCACCTGGTGAGTGGTTACCGTAAATGTCGCCAGCCCCATTGAAACATGAGTTGTAAGGTCCCATTTTTAACAGTACGACAGTTGCGCCACCCTTCAAATCGAAACGCATTACTGCTTCACGGCAGAAATAGGCAGGGTGGTGGTACCTACCCGTGCGGACTCACAAGTCGTACTACCACCAGTAAAAATTTTGTTCACTCGTCTACTTAACGTATAATTGATATGTATTCCCAGTTTAGCGGTGGAATATACATAAGCAACATCTCAAGTCTATAGCGTGAGGTGTTGCAAATCCTAGATTCAGATAGCACTAGTAGCTTTTATTTGTTTTGCGAAAAGTATATTCTCTCTTTCTCTCTCTCTTACAGTAAGCTGTCGTCAGACATTCAACCGTAGTTTTGAGAAAAACAATTTCTTAGGCGGTGCATACACAATGTCCGTTGACATATCCATATCAATCAATCTACAGTAGATCTAGTAGATCTTGAGGCACTCTTCTTCTGATCTTCTTGTAGTCCAATTTGGTTGTCCATTAAATGCTTAATTGTCTCTGAAAATTTGTAACTAATATTAACATTACTAGATGATGGTTTTTTTTTTTTTTATAACGCCATCTTGTTGTGTCTTTAAAGCGGTTAGTTGCCCTTAATTAAGAAAAATAGTATTATTATTCACCAATAGAATCAGATGTCGGAGAGAGTTGGTTATTGAAAACACGGATAAAACAACATTTTCTGAAAATAAATCGTAGCTACATCGATTTATCGCCCCCGAAATCCCCTGTATACTAAATATTATGAAAATCGTTGGAGCCGTTTTCGAGATTCAGATTATATACATATTATTATATATTAATATACAAGAATCGCTCGTTTAAATGTATAAGATTCCTGTCATGGCCGACAGCTGTACCGTTCAAGTCATCAATTCTACGTTTACAACTGTGAAATTCTGCATTGCATTCTATTTTTGTCAACGTTAGTAATAATCTCATAAAAAATCGTTAATCATTTACACCCTACGATTCTACGGCATTATGAAATTTTTTAATGAAAAAAATCCCCCCTCTAATGGTCCTTCGTCGCCAAGCGGTTTTGTTCTGAGGCTGATATATTGCGGTTCTGGAGACTCTCAGAATGTGTGAAGCTAAAATGGCGCTTAGTGAATTGTTGGGGTTGGTAATGTCGTAAAAGATTTTTTTTTTCCTTAATTAAATATGAGTTCCGAGTCTCAGTTTTATAGTTTAACGGTTATAAGGCCCCTTCATAATGAAACGCATTACTGTGAAGCAGTAATACGTTACTGCTTCACAGTAGATGTAACTAGGGTATTTGTTCTTACCCGCGCGGGATAACAATACAACATTATTTTTCATTAATTTACTGGTGGTAGGACCTCTTGTGAGTCCGCACGGGTAGGTACCACTACCCTACCTATTTCTGCCGTGAACCAGTAATGCGTTTCTGTTTGAAGGGTGGGACAGCCGTTGTAACTATACTGAGACCTTAGAACTCATATCTCAAGGTAGGTGGCGGTATTTACGTTGTAGATGTCTGTGGGCTCCGGTAACCATTTAACACCAGGTAAGCTGTGAGCTCGTCTACACATCTATGCAATAAAAAAAATTTAAAAAAAAACAACATATCACCACTAAAGTCAAATTTTAATCAGAAATGTTTATTTGGATGTACCTGCGCTAAATTAAAGACGCAAATCATGATATGCCACGAACTGACATAAAAGAAATATCTTAAAACAATTAGAAGCAATACAAGCAAATACATTAGAAATAATTTTAGACTGAACTGAAATCGATCTCCAGTAGATATTACTATCTCTTAGTCATATTAAATGGACAAAAAACACCGAAAGAAGGTGGTTTTCATTTTATGTTTTTATGACAATATTTGGTGTAATGCTGTTAGGATTATTAATTAGTTTAAATTTTATACTTATATTTAGTTTATATTACCTGTATTATATGTAGTTTAGTCAATAAATTATCTTTTACAATAGTGGAATAACGGAAAATAATTTATAAAAAAAAACTAGGTAAAAAACGAATTTAAAAGTAAGCAGCATTTTAGCGGTCTCAACCTGGCGTGAGGGAGTAACTTGATTAATCTTTCTCACATTTGCTCGCCCGGTCACACGTTTAGGGGATTAAAATTATTTGAACGTACGTAACGTGTTAAGACACATCAGGAAATTACTTTTATAAGAAAAAACGTTTCTATTAGAGATAAATAAAATGAAAAAAAAAACGAATTGAAATAAGGAGAATTTTAGGAAAGAAAGAAGAAGAATAAGAAGATATATTATGTTAGAGGAACTCTGAAAGTGGCACCTGTGACAGGGACATTGAGAAGTGCGCGTTTGGGATGGTATGGACATGTGATGAGACGAAATGAAAATGAGGCTGGTAAGAGAGTGTTAACTATGAATGTGAAAGGATATAGAGGAAG